GACAGCCCTTTTTATCCTCTCCGATGGACCAGGATGACCTGAACGCTGCTCAGTTGTTTCCTGAACTGCACAATGATTATGTTGACTGTCAAAAGCGGGATTCCCAAATTCTGCGAAATTTGCCACTAACAAAATCTGACTATTCGAGAGAACCTTGAGTTCTAGGGATGTTGTAACACAAGATAATTAGTGTGCGGACCATTTTCATTTATACAGTGCTCTGTGAACAAATTAGTTAGCATAAATCAGTTAAATGACAAAAAATTAGGTGTCTATTTACTTGTGACCACTCAGTGTATACATTTTCTCATTGTTACGTGGTTTGTCAAAATAACGAAACCTATATACATAGTTGAGTAGCAATGCATTAAATTGTCAGTAAAAGCATATAAAACCAAGTATAAAATGGCAACAAAAGGAGAATATAGTGAAATTATTTAATCTTTAGATGTAATCCCACTTAATTTTTGTATTGTATAAAACTTTTGTTCTTTCTTTTAGACCAAAATACATTGCTATTAATTTTAAAATTTATATCTAGACCTATACAATTTTTAAATGTCAGTTTTGTTCTCTTCTAGCCAATCTTCTTGGAACTACTACTACAACTACCGCTGTTACTTACCCAGTTCAGCCACCATACCCTACGAATCAGCCACAGTATCCTCCTACTAGTGGGTATCCTGTGTATCCTCCTGCTAACACAGGTTATCCACCTGCCAACACAGGTTATCCACCTGCCAACACTGGCAATCCCCCTCCATATCCAGGTGCTGCACAACCACCATACAATAAAGGATACTGAAAGGTTGGTGATTCATTCAATCCGGATGTGTTTTGTTAAGTTTTATTAGAATCATAAGTGCAGTTCCCTCAATTAACGTATATATCCAACAGTTTCTTATTCATTTTACTAAAGAGAAATATGCTAAGCCTAAAAGTAAGCATCAGCACATTTCATGAACTAAAATAGATTGTATTTTGCAACAATAAGAGTAGATCATTAAGAATTAATTTTTTTATGTTAGGATTTTATCATAAGATTTGACATTCACTTGGAGAGTGAATAAGAAAAAAACAAGAAGAAATAAAAAAAAGTTGATGTGAAGAAATATAAGAAATACCTCAAATATGTTACTTACTTAAATATTTAATTGAAAATTTTCCATGTCTTTGTTCATCTTTTATAAACTCACTGCAGTGTTCACTGATTTATCTTGGAAGAACTATTTAATTTTTAAATGTTAAAGATTAATAAGAAATGGGAATGGGTGTAAATTGTTTAGCAAATACAGATTTTGATATTCGTATTGATTACTGTGAGGTATCTTAACCCTCGCATCACTAGTGGACAGTGTGACTTGCTAGGCTAGTGTTACCATGTGCTAAGTGTATCTGTACATGGTAATATTCAACTGACTTATTTTTAGTCATTTAAGATGCTTAACTATACATGGTTCATATAGAAACATACAATATCCTTAGTTTATTTTCCTGTTTGAAGCTTGTGTACTAGATACAGAAAGTTCAGCTTCAGTGGAAATTGTCATCAAGTTTTTGAAATATTTGGATACTGTGTTTATGTTTTTTTGTGAAATTATGCCTTCCATACTGTAATGTGAGGGCTAGATCTTTAACGTGACTATTTGAAAAATCCTAGTTGTCACTTTCAGTTATAGTTGTAAGAACAATTATCTTTGATATGGTAATTCACTTAGATTTGTAGTTGTTGAAATAACATGACATGTTATTTCAACATGTGATTTTGTTGTAAAAATGATTTCTAAAACATTTCTAAAATTTTAACTTTGGTCATACTATTAAAAAGCACTTTCATTTCAAATGAATGTTTTTTAGATGTTTTAATAATGAGTTTTATACCTTTTAATTCTATTAAACAATAATGATTTTTGAGAAAACAGGCTTTACACATGATTGTTGTTCACACTGACTACAGAATAGTCGTGAATTTGTTGTGAAGATGATTTGTAACACTTTTCTAAAATTCTAACCATTTTCATCTCAAATTAATGATTTTTAGATTTAAACAAAACTCTATTACAATGTATTAATTCTGTTATAAACAATATAATAATGGTTTTTTCAGAAAGTAAGACTAAGTATTAGTTAAATTACTAAATTTTTAATAGACAACCAATTTGAATTTTCAGATAACTTAAAAGACTTCTTCACTGGGAGATTATGAAATTATGGTTTTTGTTTTTATCGATGTCATGTGTTTTCATCTCCAAAAGGTCAGCAGTAGAACGTTAAAGAATTAAACCATGAAAAAAAATTAGAGAGAAGAATTTTTTCATCACATCCAAGAGGCCTACTTTGAATTGTAACCAGAGTCTGACTGTCATCAGAATGTTTATTTTGCCTCATATAATATACACGTGATCTTCTAAGTACTTCAGTAAGGTTATGCCAATAAGATATCAGTTGTTATCAAGGATTTGTAGTTTATATATATATATATATATATATATATATATATATATATATATA